CTGCAATGCAGGGGGTTGGACTAGATGAATCTACAATTCTAGGATTCTGTGTCTGCTGGGAGTGCGCAGTGGCAGGGCAGAGTGCTTCACTCCCAGAAAGGGCACCAATGGAGTGATGTCCATGTGTGAGGAGAATAAGCCCCAGCCTCTTGGGACCACTCCCACCACCTGAACTGTTGATGGGTGGGGGGACACATAGCAAGCTGGTTCAAATCCAGCTGTGGTAGTCCATAGGCTATTTTGTTACTTTTTGCTTTTTCTTCAGTTGGTCCCAATAAAAGGTATTCCCACATGTCACCTACTGAACCCCAAGGAGACTCCTTTGCCAACAGACTCCAATGACTGCACCACAGTCTACTCTTGAGTAACAGGAAGATCCGGAGATTTCCCACAGCTAGGAATCCTACTGCCAACAGCTGCAGAAATGGACACCATCCCTTTACAGTGGTACCTTGGGTTTACGAACTTAATTCGTTCCGGAGGTCCGTTCTTAACACGAAACCGTTCTTAACCTGAGGCACGCTTTTGCTAATGGGGCCTCCTGCAGCCGGCACACGATTTCTGTTCTCATCGTGGGGCAAAGTTCATAACCCGAGGTACTACTTCCAGGTTAGGTAGGCTGTATGAATTGTGCATTGCTTTGGAACGATTTGTTGGGTCTCTGGACCGTAATAAAGATTGATACTTCCAGGTTAGCGGACTTTGTAACCTGAAGCTTTTGTAACCCGAGGTGTTTGTAACCTGAGGTACCACTTGAACAGTTGCAGCACTCTTGACTATCTAATTCCAAGGTTTTTAACCTTTTTGAGTCCATGGTTCCCTTGACCAACTACAGTGGTGCCCCGCAAGACGTTTCCGTCTTGTGAAGCAAGCCCATAGGGAAAATCGTCTTGCGAAGCAGCTCAAAAAACAAAAAACCCTTTCGTCTAGCAAGTTTTTTGTCTTGCGAGGCATTCGTCTTGCGAGGTACCATTGTAGATAAATAGGTACCGCTCCAGCGGGAAGGTAAACTGCATTTCCGTGCGCTGCTCTGGTTCGCCAGAAGTGGCTTAGTCATGCTGTACGCCGGCTCCCTTGGCCAATAGAGCAAGATGAGCGCCGCAACCCCAGAGTCAGTCACGACTGGACCTAATGGTCAGGGGTCCCTTTACCTTTACCCTTTACTGAGCTTGCCTTACCTTCTCATCTGTTCCAGAATTGTGGGCCTACTAACCTCTACCTCCCCTTGCTGGTGGGACACCCTCATGCGTAAGGACAGCTGTATAGCAGGCCCATCAGACCTCAAAGTGAAGATAAAAATACAGAATGAATACATTTGATTTGGCCGAGAATATTTCCAATCTCAATATAAACCATACCTTGGCATCTCCACCTGCTGCACTGCTAGGTTCAGAGATATCAAAGTGGGGGGTGGGGGTGGGGGAAAGAAAAAATTTCACTTGCAATCTTTTGCATACCAGGCTGTTAAAATGCACAGGAGCATGGCAGTTATCCTGCTTTTGGCAGTGTTTTCCAGAGCATGGTTGGAGGTATTTGCAAGCTTCCCAAATGGATTTGGATATCAGCAATATCTTCTTTGCACCCACCCACACCCCACAGCTGCAGAGAGCAAGAATCGGCCATCTCTGTTCCGGCATGGTGTGCTCTGCTCATGACAGGTCTAATTCCGAGCAATGGATACAGTGAAACCGTTCAATGTTGACCAGTGTTTTAGGTAACACAAAAAGCAGTGTAGGAGTTCAGTTCATCTCATTTCTTCCCTCATCCATTAATGGAAAAGAGAGCTGTCAATCAAGCTGCTTTAGCAAGACATTGCCTTTTTTGTATTTTCACCAATTACCTCCTGCAATGTTTGATTTTTAGTGGTCAATCTGTGCTGCGCAGATGCACAGCATCACTTCAGACAACTCAGTAGTGGATGCAAGACTCCGAGGATGTTTTAAAAGTTGATGATTGCACTCAGCGAGCTTTACACAAACAAGCATTGCCACAGAGAGCCACCTTGAAAGGGCAGCAGTTTAACTAGTGCATTTTAATTAATATATATAATACAACCACAGATGTTACTAGGTCACCTAAAACCTGTAAAGCTTCTGGAAAAAGGTGGAGAGCGTTTTATATGGTCAAATAAAGGATGGCAATACTGCCTTGCCTGAAATTAAGGCTGATTGGGTATCCATACTGTAATTCTTAGTTCTTCCATACATAAAAAGCAAGAAAATAATCAATAGCCTCTGGAGAGTTACATGAATGCAGAAGGAGACCTCCTTTAGAAAACAAGGCTGGAATCATAGGCTTACTTGCTCGGGGTCAAGTCCCACTAAATTTATTGGGAATTGTTTCAGAATGCCAACATGATTCCCTACCAAGAGTTAAGTCCCTTGGGCTATGGATATGCAGTATGTCATCATGTTTAGAAAGCTGCTATGAAGTGTGAAGATCCATGGCACTGATAGGAAGACTTCCTGTTACCTAGCTGAGCTGATACAACTAATCCCAAGTGAGATCATGAGATACAGAAACCAAAGATGCTTGAATTTTAAACCCTTCTCTCTAGTTCCTGAGATTTGTGGACAGATCACTACTGCAGTGGAACCTCAGTTTTCGAACGTAATCCGTTCCGGAAGACTGTTCAGCTTCCAAAATGTTAGAAAGCCGAAGATCAATGGGCTGGCTGCAAAGTCAATTGGAAGAAAGAAAAAAAACTCCCTGGAAGCCGTTTGACTTCTGAAAAATGTTAGAAAACAGAAGCAATTACTTCCGTGTTTGGGTTCCGAATTGTTCGGCTTCTGAGACGCTCAGAAACTGAGGTTTCACTGTACTGAAGTCAAGAGTCTTCTGAAACAAAGGGTGGAAACATTTTGGAGTCTCAAAAGATCAGGATCTTGGAGCTGAAATTTGTACGTTCTGTGAACTGCGCACTGATCTCACGGCGGGGGGGGGGGGGGGAATAGTACATCACCTCTCAGAGAGAGCTGGGTCTCTCAGACTCACAAGAGGATTATCCACTTTCAGTATCTCCATACCTAGAATGCTTTTATTACATTGGACAGTCTCTTCAGTGTTGATAGCACTGAAAGCCTCACTCACTGTTGATCTGGTTCTCTCCCCTGTGAAACTGGATATATCTGTGTAGGAAGAGGGCAGGGCAAGAATGAACCCAGGGACAGAGAACCAACAGAGAACGAAATCTGTTCTCATATGTTAAGAGAGAGAGGATTATTTGAGAATTCTGGAATTACCACTAGAAATGGGATTTATTTTTAAAGCAGTAAACCATATCAAAATAGGATTTTGCATTTAACAACCTATAGTGAAGTTACAGTAATTTAAAAACATGTGGGTTGGATGTAGTTTCTTTCCTGATACAAAATGCCAATACTGGAGAGAGAAAAATGTTAGGATTAACACAGAGGAAGCCTGACTCCATACATGCACACACGGAAGTTGAGCTGAGTTTGCAGCCTAATATCAAGTTAAAGGTAAAGGGACCCCTGACTGTTAGGTCCAGTCGCGGATGACTCTGGGGTTGCTTTACGGGCCGAGGGAGCCGGCGTTTGTCAGCAGACAGCTTCCGGGTCATGTGGGCAGCATGAATAAGCCGCTTCTGGCGAACCAGAGCAGCGCACAGAAATACCGTTTACCTTCCCGCCGGAGTGGTACCTATTTATCTACTTGCACTCTGACGTGCTTTCGAACTGCTAGGTTGGCAGGAGCTGGGACCAAACAACAGGAGCTCACCGCATCGTGGGGATTCGAACCACCAACCTTCTGATTGGCAAGCCCTAGGCTCTGTGGTTGAGACCACAGCGCCACCCGTCTCCCTATAAAATATCAAGTTAGGGGGGGCACTATGTTGTCACCACTTCCCAACGCACTCACAATGGAGATCAATGTCCCCTCCTTCCTCATGGAAGAACTGCGGGCACAAATATTGTCCTGCATATGTCGAGGAAGTGCAGATGAAGAGCAGCTTTGAATTTAGGACCAGTTTGTGGAACTGAACTTCTCCACCTGAGATCAATGAAGGAAAAAGTAGCATGAGCTACAATATCCATGACTACACTTTCTAGATCAGCTGCTATCTTGGGGAAAGGACATGACAACGCTTTCCCATTTCACACTACAATTTCCTTGTGCTAAGAAATTATTGCTCAGAAAATGTATTTGGGTGCACCTTTAGTATTCTGGAATGCAGCACAAAGATACATCTTGGTTCCCATCTTTCAGATACCCAAACCTTTTAGTTAAAGACTTGCAAAGCATGTCACACAGCTTTTCTTTTGATATGATGTATTTATATTTACATGGTACATTTTTAAAGCAATAGCTACAATGATCATACATATTAGAAACAATAAAAAAGAAGTTAAGAACTAAAATATACATCATACACTTGTATATATATTCTTTACACAGAGGTAAAAAGGCTTATAAAAATCAATACAACAGAGTTTTAAACTTTTAGTATACAGATACATAATAGAAGGTTTGCTTCAGGCACTTAAATTTGTTAATGTGAGCAAGAGCTTGGGGGGCGGGGGGAAATGTTCCGAACTGGGGGGAAAGAAACAGCTTTTGGTTAATGGATTGTTACCACAGATACAAAAATAAAATCTGAATAATTTCTCAGATGATTAATGTCAGTACTGAAAAACCAACAGAGGAAAAACACTAAACACTGTTCAGCTGCAGTGTGGAGATCAATGGGAAATATTTACAGGGGTAAAACCCCCCCTCCCAGCCTCCCGTTTCTACCCTTGTGCCAATTTCGCTGCACTAACGAAAACAAAAACACCCCCCAACAACTCACATGGAGGGGGAGAGAGGGAGAGGGAGAACAAACACGGAACGACTGAATCAGGATTAAAACAAAACCAGAGAAAAGAGGGAATTTACAGAAGAGGATATACATCGAGGCTTGGAGTACGTCTGCTTTAGCAAAATAAATAGGGGCACTTGAAGTGAGAGGCTTGACAACCTGTAAGATCTCTTCTGTAGTGTTGTGCTTTTGGGGGGGGGGAGACCTTACAGAAATTCAGAATAGCGGAACAACTTGCAAAACCAAAATACTGTCCCCATCACTTTGTTATTCTTTTATTTTGAGGCTGGCATGATGTTTGCTAGTCACCATTTACAGCGATTTGTCATTTGCTATTAGGCACAAAATATTTATTCTTTCCACGAGTTTACAAAATAAAATAAAATAAATGAAAATGAAAAACTTCCCTTGCCATTTAGCAGTCCATTTACATTTACAAACGTAAAACCTAACCAATGCAAAAACATTGAAGCCTACGTTATATATGTTACAGACAAATCCCAAATCTTGAATACCAAAATATGAACTTGAGAGATCACACAGCCAATCTCCACATTATATAGAATTTTAGACTGTATCACTGCAGGTTGCAGATTATTATTTTTTTTTTTACCTGCTTAATAAGCCTAATAGACTAGCACATCAGAAAAATATGCATGCTTAATCTCTCTGGTCAATGATGATACCTGGGGCCATCTTTCCATTGCCTTTGAGAAAAGGTAATGTGGGAAGTCCCAAGCCACCTGGGAAGAGCCCATGCTGCAGCTCCTCCCAGAAACAAGGGTAATTATTGGCATGGGGAGGAGCTCCAACACAAATTCCCACCCCTACCCCCCCTGGCGTGGGAGCTTATGGCTGTGCCTTTGTGGTGAGTGGGGAAAGGGCTGTGCTCCAGTCGCTTCTATGCTGCGAAGGCAAGAAGGAGCCCGCAGAAGTCCCTAGGAATGTTCAAGTTTCAACACAGACCCCCCACCTCCACCCCAAAGGTCTCCCCGCTTGGTTTCCGAAACTGCTCCTGAAGGTCCCCTGAGTTTCACGACAGTGGCTTGTCTGGTGGAAAGAGGGTAGGGTGCAGGGTCTGTTTTTGCAAATAATTGCTTTGCCAAATGGCCCTGGATCCTGGCCCACGAGTTTCTGGGTTGGCTCAATGGGTGCCGCCATGTGCCCAGGAGTTTAAAAACCAAACAGAAAAGCTCGTAATCAAATCATTAGGTCAGTGCCTGAGTGTAAGCAGACCTCCTCAAGCTCCAGGTTTCAACTGTAACATACGCCACACACACCCATTGCATATGTGACAAAAAGCTGTGGTGAATCCTTGTGGCCCGTTTTCACAAGGAGTGTGGCAAGCGTGTCGCTCTTTGCATCTATTTGGCAATAAAATAAATAAAATAAAATTCAGTTCCTCTTCCTTTAAGACTCATGTCAATGTGCAAGAAGGAGGGGGGGGGGCAAGGGCACGCACTCACCGGCACTTGGCTGCGGAAAAAAGATTATGGCAGAAACAGCAGCGCCAGTTCTCACAAGCCGGTGCCTCTAGCTGCCTCGGATTACTCAGATTGTACTATGCTATATTATAGCTAAACTGCTCTACACTATTCCTTTGAATAAAAAAAAATGGCCATTCCATGTCATATATTAGAAAAATATTATTATTTCCCCAGATAATTACAAGCCTTGTACACAAGACATGGCTTCGAAGAAGAAAAGCAAACCCACACAAAGTCAAAAGCATCGTGTCACCCTACTGTGCGCATTTCACAACCAAGAAAGAAGCAGCCTGTTAGAAGGTACAGATCCTGCAAAGCACGTTTTATGCACCACCAGGTACTACCGAAATCAACTGCCTTTCCATGTTGGGGCACCCACTGATTTCCGCAGGGCCTGCCTCTAATTTAGGGCAGGGCTGGGGGGGAATGCTTCAATGTTCCTAGTGTTTGGTTTGAAGGCACCAAGGTGACCGGGTGCCTGGGACTGACCCAGCTCTGGCCTAAGGGATGTCTGCCCTGGGTTCTCTGCAGATCCCAAATATGCTGGTTCAGTGCATTTGGAAGCAGAAAAAGGCACGACCCTCTGCTGACCCCGGGCGGATCCTGCAGTCTGCACAGCAGACAGAACTGGGGGGTCAGATCAGGCCACACCATGGAAAACCCTGGTAACACCATAGCACATTTCCCCCCTCGGTACTTTCTGCTTCCTATCTGCGCATTAAATCCACCAGGAATTATTCGTGCCCACACTGCAAGCGCGCCTACTTTGCAGATCCAAAGGCTTGGGGGATGGAAGAGACTTGCTGCCCAGGTGGGGGGAGATCCTTTATCGGTCAATTTCACCAATGCACTTGGGGGAAAAAAAGGTGGAAGAAAGAGAGCCTGCAATGCGCAGCAACGTTAAAGCTTTCTTGAAACTGACACACACATATTTCTCTACAGCTGGCTTAGAGAATCCCAGTGAAAGTGATTAGCTCAAAAACTTTTACTAGGCTTCTCCAGACTGTTTGTCAACTTCACTTTTCCCCCCTTCAGATTCCTGTAGGCCTTCTGAGGAAAACTGAATAATGAAAAAGAGAAGCCACGCCCTTACCTGCGCCCAGGTGATTGTCAAATGCTGTGATGATAGGATGCCTGTCGTGGTGCTGGATCCACAGCCGCACCTGACAGTCTCAGATGCAGGCGGTGGTGTTTTTCCCTCTGTCCAAAAAGCTTGGAAGTGGTCCAGGAGGAGTTTCAAAACACCCTCACCTGGTCCGAAAGGCCTCCAAGGCAGGGAGAGGCAGGCAAAGCACAAATGAAAACACTTTGCACAGACCAGCTCCTGCCGGCTGGGGAGGCTCCCCTGTATTCCCAGGTTGGTTTGGAAACGCTGGAAAAACACAGGGCCCCAGATCCATTCCCCAAATGCTCCTGGATTCTAGAGAGAGCAGAATTGTCACCCATCCTTAGTACACAAGACTGTAGACATGGTTAAAATAAACATAAAAATAAAAGACAACTATGTTCCCTCATATGTTTCAAGGTACACCACAAGCACGCGAGTGTACCTGCTAATTTAGTAACTTGTGAAATTCCCCCTTTGTTTCAAATAGAAACACTGTAGGATAGAGGAGTATTTCCACTGTGAAGAATACCAACACTAAAGCTATAATTTCCAATGTTATTTGGAGGAGAAAGACTAAGGTGGTGGTGTGGGGGGAGGGGAGAAGAGAGAAGACACTTAAGGGTTTCCCTTTCACGTGTAAAATTGGTCTGAAACACAAGTTCTCAGATTCACAAATGTCATACAGGTGATACTAAGGCTCATTTCCCACATTTTGCTTGAATACTTGGTGATCAGAGAAATCATTCAAAGCAACTGTCAAAAGAACGGATGGACTCAAAATTCTCACAATAAAGATTGTCAGCGATACTGTGTCATGGTACACATTTGTTATTAGCACAATTTCTATACACTCTCTCTCTCTCTCTCTCTCTCTCTCACACACACACACACACACACACACACACACACTTACTGGCTGCAAGTTGAACACAATTTAAAGTGGGATTTCATTATACCTTATTTCCACATGTGTCGATAGGTTGCTAAATACAGATACAGCCGTAATAAGTTCTGAAAGTCCACCACACTCAACCATTCAACTGAGGGGAAAGGGAGAGGGGAGGTATAAACATGTACAAGACATTCTTGCTTGATTACAGATCAATAATACAAAAGTCTTTTATGCTGCACATCAGTCTGTTAGAACTCAGTGAGCAATCAATGCATAGCAGCCGAGTGGGAAGGGGAGAGAAAGAAGGGGGAAGAGGAGGAGGGACGAGCCCACCGGTTTCTGAACTCTTGTCAGTCTCCTTGGGCCGTGTGACGACGTACGTAAAAATTGAGAACGCTCCGGACCAAGATGCTCCTTAGCTAAAAGGGGAAAGCTTCGGGTGTTGTCATCCGGCTGCTTTGTGTTTCCCACCGCAACACCTGCACATGACCCCACAGTGATAGCAAGCCCGAAGGGGCAGGTAACAGCACATACAGGGGGCAAGGAAGGACAAGGCGATAAGGGCCAACCACCGGAGGCAAAACTTGTCATCACTGGTATCGCAAGAGCAAGGGTCTGTATAGTCTCCTTCTGGGTCAGACATACAGTGATAGAGCATGCTGTCCGCACACCACATACAGCTGACTTGGCGGATGCAACTTTTTATTCTGTCTGGAGCATCCTGGCACTGACCCCGCCTGTTCTCCTCGTGGTTGAACATGTCCCTGCAGTAGACGCACCTAGACCTCTCCCCATCCTCCTTTCGCCGCCGCGATTTGCACCTGGCAGGCTGAGTCTTAACCACAGCGCCCTTGATGTCTTCGCACAGATCGAAGTCAGAGTTGCCCACGTAAGGGTAATTGTAATCGTGTTTGGAGGCCTCGGTTTTGGCAAATCGCACATACGAGTCCCCATCGTCCGCATCAATGTACTTCTCCCGCATGGGGGTGTGGCGGTAGTCCTCATAACCTGTCACCCAGATCTTTTCTCGTGGGTTAATCCGCACAATCTCCTCGTCGTCGTCCGGGAAGCTGACGTGCCGATAGGATCGTGGGATGGACTGTAGGAGAAGCATTTCAAAAAGAACATCTTAAAAGCTGGCAACACATGACACACTCAAGAAGTTTAGATAATAAATATATTTTCTGTTATTCTATCATCTAACCTCTCTAGACAGATACACATGTTTATATTCATAACAGGATACAAGCAAGGCAGACTTTGTTTTAAATTTCTCACTGCTCCAATCACCAAAAGGTATTTGAAGTGGACGAGGAGCGCTTTCATTCATTTCAAATGCCAGAAAAATCCCATTATCCAAGTTATTGTGGTACATATAGCTGGAAGTGGATCAAAAGCATTTTGCAGATATAACCCGCACGATATCCCAACTGTACCGGGTGAGGAACAGCAATACGACCCAGGCTACCAGCAATGACTGCAGTAGTTGGAGAAAGGGCCACTGCAATTGAAATTCTTGCCTGCAGTTGTCAGCTGTAAGTCTCTTTTATATATATATATATATATATATATATATATATATATATATATATGAGATTTTTTATTGGTTTTACATATAATCACATTACGTAACATCGTACCCTTTTAGTTTATCTCTTTGGATCAACTGAGCATTACGACTTCCCTCTCTCCCGTCTGATGGCTTACAAAATTAAACTTTGCATTTCGCTTCGTTTCCTATCCCTGTTATACCATTACCTAAAATTTTGTATTACTCAGCCTGAATAGGTAGCAATTTCATCTTACAGATCTTCAGATAACCCTGCTGGTGATGTTAATTGCTTACAGTTGTCTTTCAAATATAATATGCATTTGTTCCAGTCTTTTTGGAATGCCTCGTCTCGCTGGTTCCAGATTTTCCTGTCAGTTTCACCAACTCTGCAAAGTCCATCAGCTTCATCTGCCACTCTTCTTTTGTTGGCAACTCCTGCTGTTTCCATCTTTGGGCTAACAAAATTCTTGCCGCAGTTGTTGCATTTAAGAACAATTTTTTATCTTGTCTCGGTATCTCTCTACCCACAATACCCAATAAAAAGGCTTCTGGTTTTCTTAACAAAGGTGTTTTTAAACAGTTTCTTTAACTCATTATATATCATTTTCCAGAAAACTTTTACCTCTTTACATATCCACCACATATGGTACCTTCCTTTTCCTTACATTTCCAACATTCATTTTTTGTTCTGTACATTTTGGCTAGTTTAACTGGTGTTAAATACCACCTATACATCATTTTCATAACATTTTCTTTAAGCGTATTGCATGCTGTGAACTTAATACCTTCATTCCACAACCTCTCCCAATCTTCTAACTGTATATTATGTCCAATATCTTTAGCCCAATATATCATTACCGATTTTACCTCCTCATCTTTAAGTATGCCATTCCAATAATAATTTATACATTTTCGACAATATTTTTGTCTTATCATTCAATAAATCTATCTCAAATCTTGATCTTGTTGCTTCAAAACCATTTTTTATCCTCTTTAAACACTTCATTTATCTGATGATAATGCAACCAATCCCTCAATGATTCTTTTATTTCCTCAAACGTTTTTATTCCAACTGGTTTCCTTCCTCCATCACTACATCTCCGTAGGTGGCCCATTTTTCTTCCACATTTAATTTTTTAACTGCAATCGCTTCCAATGGCAAGAGCCACCATGGAGTTTTACATTCTAATAGACTTTTATATGCATTCCACACCTCATAAATTGACTTTCTTATGATTCAGGAATCCTTTATGTATTTTTACCGTCTCATACCATAGATACGTGTGCCATCCAAATCTGTTATTATATCCTTCCAGATCTAACAGATCTGTGTCAGCTCGTGCAGCCAGGCTCATGCTGACGTTTCAATTTATCTCAGAAACAGGCCTGAAGAATAGCACTGGTGGAGCAGCTAGCTTTTACGTGCAAGGCCTCCCCTGAAATGCTAAATCACAGGGATTCACCTCTGTCTTTCTAGGCAACTGGCATATACCAACCTGGCAAGGGAAGTCTTGCACTGCTTCCTGAAGGTCAGCCAAATAGTCCTTGGAAGACTATGGCAAGCAAGCCTTCTTGTCAAGAGAACCCCTTCCCCAGCTCCAACTCCCACTAGAGATGCATACACAGAGAATTATTTGAAGCGTATGGACTCTGGTGTGCCCGTGAGTGGCAGGGGCAAGACGGCAATAGGAAAACACTGAAAACAGGCTCACTTGTTCTAGATGATACTGGTCAGGGTTAAACTGGTCGTGCAAATGTCCCCGGGTGCAAATTCTGTGGTGCTCACAGGATGGAGGAGACGCCGGTGTTCGCAAAGGCTGCTCCCTCTTCTGAGAAGAATTAGAGGAGCTGTCTGTAGCATTCTGTCAGTAACATAAATGGGAACAGGGAAGGTAAGTAACACAGCTCCATTTCCATAGACAATCTGAGCGACAATCCAGATTTCTCCTTAGGCACTGGGGCCTATCCCCCGCCCCCCCAAATCACACTGCCGCCCTATAAACCTCTTTAGAAACACGCATGTTTTTCATGAACAGCAACATGGTTTGAGAAACGTTGGTCTACAATATATATTTAATCTGCTCACAGAAAGGAAGTTGGGCAGTTCCTTGGGTTTTGCCTCCTCCGTTGGACACCACTTTGCTTTACAATAAAAATAACGTGTCTTGCGGCACTTGAAAGACTTTGGAAGTTATTGTGGCATAAGCTTTCATGGGCTGGAGTCCACATCATCAGATGCATGTGACGCAGCAGAGACTAACATGGCTACTCTCCCCCCCCCCCGAAACTGCCTAGTCCAACACACACACACCGACCGCACAAAAAGGGTGGAACAAGTGCATATTTTTAACCACGTTTTAATCTAAAATACATGTAAGCTGGGGTCCGACCAACACTTGTGTGCCTCTTAAAAGTGGAATAGCGTTAAAAATACACACCCTGATTTGATTCTCTGTACTTATTTTGTACTCCTTGGGTAGTCATACTCAACTCCAGCTCTCAGGACTGGCTGGGAAAAATACAGAGCTTTGTGACAAGACATGAAGATGCCACACTGACAAAACTGAGCTAGCCGATCAACATCAGTTTATTGTCTGCTGCAGCTTATGTGCAAGTGATTATTTTTTTTAAATCTCCACATAGGTTCGCTTCAGGTACATTAGCATCCTTGCCTACACCAGAGCAGAGAAATGGAACACCTATTGCATCCCCCTTGCCCCCCCCGAACTGGTTACAAGGAGCCCAGTATCTATGGAATAGTCTAAAATTATTTTATAAATAAATTCGCTGGCTGTTTTCTTCCTTCCTTTTTTCTGAAAAAGGAGAAACTGGAGATCAATAAATGTTATGACACTTTACATAAAGCAAATACGTATCTTGGAGGAATATTTTGGAAGTTTTAGTTGCATCAGCTGTTGGGTTCTATTTCAGTGGCAGATTCCAGTTAAAGTTAAGAGTAGATGATCATAACTGCAAATAAGTGACCCCATCTGACTTCTTAAAATATCGTTTCTGTCTGCTCTGAGAAGTCTCTGCCTGCAATAACCTTCCTTTCAACTCTTAAGCACAAGCTCATATGAATGCGCAGCTGAAGTCGGGAGGAATTTTTAAAAGCTGTAAATAGCAAAGTATGAATGTAAAGCATGTAGATCTGCATGAAATATTTATCACAAAATTTGCACTCAAATACTTCTATTTTAGACAAATAGAATATCTCACCTGTCATCTTATTCATTCTTGCATATAAATCTGGAGGGATGGACATCTGTCCCTGGAAAGTATTTTCTTTCCTCTTTCTGCATGGCTGCTCCCTAGCCTGCTTCAAAGCCTTTAGCCCCCTATTTTGAATTTTATGACCAATTTGCAATTTGCTCCAACAGTTTATAAAACAATGTGGTGTTGTTGCTGCTGCTGCTGTTTAAAGTTCTGGTCTTTTATAGTTCTGGCAATTAAATGTTCAGAACTATATTTAAGAAGTCAAAACTACGACTTCATGAACCCAACCAGTTAAGAATTACTTGTCCACAGGCCTCCTGCCTTGATTCATCATATTCTGCATCATCCAGAACAACCTCTTCTGGCACTGCTAACCGTCAAGCAAGCTAACAGTGGAAAGATAATAACTCTGTATATGCCAATGAAACAGTTAAGCCTGCCACTTGAAGCAGCCTTTGCCTGGGAAGCACCTAGGATATGAAGAATGGACCTACTCAGAGAAGGTAAAGGTAAAGGTACCCCTGCCCGTATGGGCCAGTCTTGACAGACTCTAGGGTTGTGCGCCCATCTCACTCTATAGGCCGGGGGCCAGCACTGTCCGCAGACACTTCCAGGTCACGTGGCCAGCGTGACGAAGCTGCTCTGGCGAGCCAGAGCCGCCCACAGAAACGCCGTTTACCTTCCCGCTAGTACAGTGTTTCCCAACCTTTTTTGGGCAAAGGCACACTTGTTTCATGAAAAAAATCTCGAGGCACACCACCATGCCAGATGGGGAAAGGTCACTTTTTACTTATGTAAAAAAAATAAAAAAATAGTAACAGCATAGAAGGTAATGGTTAGGCTAGCATCCCTCTTCCAAATATGCTAGGTTTTTATTTGCAGGGACTGTTCTACATGGGAAAGCATTCAGCACTGTCATTCTCCCATCTGCCATCTGAATTGGTACTATTCTGGGTCAACTTACTCTGCTGCATGTGTAGATGAAAATGGCACCAAGTGTGGGGGAGGGGGCAGAACAGGTTTCAGATACAGGATATTAAGCATACACGTACTTCAGATTGAACTGGTTGCTTGCTTTGCAAGTTTTCATTTCCCAAATGACTGCCTTGGCAAGCGCAATACCTACCAGGCTCAACGCCGGTCTCGCGCTGCCGCTTCCCGCGCTCTCAAGGACCCGGGAGGAGGAAGGCGTGAAGGCAATCCCGAAGGCGCGAAAACGTTATCAATTGCTTCTTCTTGTACAACTGCAGCCAGATCCTACCCGTATTTACTCTGGAGTAAGCCCTAGTTTGTTCACGGGGTTTTGCTCCCGCGTAAGTGTGCACGAGGGATGGCAGCCTTAAATATCGGGGAGACCGAGGAGTCGCCTGCGCTGCTGTAATTTCCCCTCCTTTTGGGGAGGGAGGCGCTGGGCTACTGTGTTTCCTTGGAAGTCCCACGGAAGTTAATGCATTATTAGGCTACTACTGGCTTAAGCCGGTGCCCGCCTTCATCCCTAGGCGAGAGGCACAGAGTTCTGTTCCGCCCGGGCGCTGCCTCTTTAAACGAGCGCGTGGTTGAAGAAGGCGCTTGCCCAGCTCCCCTCTGCGCCTCGGAGGGCGGGTTTGAGCACGCGCAATGCGCCGCCCTCCCGCCCTGCGCCGCCGTCTCGCGCTCCTCCCTTTTGCGCGCGCTGCCCCGCCGCCGCCCCATTGGCCGGGTCCTATCAGCTGATCCTGTGTTATTTCCTGTGTGTGTGTGTGAGGGGAGAATGGAGAGAGAAACCTCGGCACCACCACCGCGGAGCCGCCCCCGGCTCGACGCGGATCCTCGCCGCCGCCGCCCCGCCTCTCGCCGCCCGACTCGCCCGCCTCCCTCCCACGGCACACCAGGCAACGTCTCGCGGCACACTAGTGTGCCGCGGAACACCGGTTGGGAAACACTGCGCTAGTAAGCGGTCCCTATTTATCTACTTGCACCCGAGGGTGCTTTCGAACTGCTAGGTTGGCAGGCGCTGGGACCGAAAGACGGGAGCGCACCCCACCGCGGGGATTCGAACCGCCGACCTTTCGATCGGCAAGCCCTAGGCGCTGAGGCTTTTACCCACAGCGCCACCCGCGTCCCACTCAGAGAAGAATTCTCTAAATTAATGGGCGTGGCTATTAACTAAGGACCATTAATTTCAACGGGTCTACTCTGACTATAGCTTAGTTAGATTCAACCCACTAATCAGGAGAGGCTGATTTTTCTTCTTCCTCCCTCCCTCTATTTTACAACTGTTGCATTTCTCCCACTGCTTGGCTCTGGCTGGCTAATTACATTTTTGTTTCAAATGCAATCAGAAGGAAAAGAACTTCAGTAAAAAAACACATTAAGGAAACTGTGCACACTTTTAAAACTCCATGCCTATTTCCTAAAAATCAGAATAGATCAGAGCTCAGTATCAAATCTAAATAGGTCTTCTGGAAGTTGTAGAACAGAAATTTCGCATTTATCTGCCCTGTGGTCTTATAGCAGTTTCCCTGCCCTGAAGATGCTCCATGAAGATACCTGGGTCCAAGTCAGCCCTTGGTTGGAACTGCCTTTCCTCCTCTCCCAGCCTGGTTACCAAAGAGATAGGGAAGTCAGGAACAAACTCAGAGGCCAGCTGCAAATCTCCCTTCCCTCTGAATATTCATAGGAGCCTTGCCAGTGTCTTGCATTATAGGCTGCAAGGCAATTCTCTAATCCTTTTCACTTTGTTAACAGGAAGTTGTCAATCATCTTGTTGTCAGGCTGCCAGGGCCGACTTTCTCCAACCATGTTTACATGCCAAGCGTGGCCTGCCCAGTGCGTCACCTTTGGGGCAGAATGCAGGAACACACAAACATTTCTCAGGAGTCTGTCACTCTGGGAATCCAACAAGATGCACATTTTTGTTTTCAAAAAGCATGCTGTTGAATTAAGACCTCTTCTCCCCACTGCACTCACCATCCCAGTCAAAATCCTGTGTGAGTCAAACGGGTAAGAATGGCACATAAAAGCACAATACACTGTGCAGAATTTTTTTTTCATCTCTAATAAGAATCCAGCTCTCAGGAATATCCTGGATCAAACTTTTAGGAGTGACATATTGTGATGAACATCTGCAACCATATAGATCTATTGGAACTGTCAAAATCCTTTCCAAGGATTATGTTGCTATGGGTTCAATGGAAGCTGCAGCTAGAAATTGTTTATTGCATATTTACACTAAAAGTTACTTTGCTATATAGACTAGGGCAATATATAACAAAAAGCTTAAGTTACATAATGGGGTTAAATCACTATGGGCAGGATTCAGCTAATGAATCCTGTCAGCTGAAGCCCTATGCAAGGGCTTCCACTAATGCAATGGGGCCTTCTCCCCTTCTCTTCCAGTAAGACCTCAAAACTGGCTTGGTGTGGTGGCTGGGTTTTAAAACCTCTGCAATAATGCATATTGGGATGCGGGTGGCGCTGTGGGCTAAACCACAGAGCCTAGGACTTGCCGATCAGAAGGTTGGCGGTTCGAATCCCCGCAATGGGGTGAGCTCCCGTTGCTCGGTCCCTGCTCCTGCCAACCTAGCAGTTCGAAAGCACGTCAAAGTGCAAGTAGATAAATAGGTACCACTCCAGTGGGAAGGTAAATGGAGTTTCCGTGCGCTGC